ATTAGAGCATAAGCTTTCGTGGACTACAGCCCACTTCTTCGGATGCATATGCTCTAATAAATTTGTTTATGCTATTATGCTCTAATAAATTTGTTAGTCTCTAAGGTGCCACAAGTACTCCTGTTCTTATTGTGATAAGGTGACTTTACAGCCCCATTCTCACTTCCTACCTAAGGCCTTATCAGATTTCCAAATCAGTCAGGACATTCAACTGCCAGTTTTTTACCCCAAACTTCTCAGGAGAGGAAGCCAGTCTCTTCTACCTTGATAGCATTAAGCCCTCTGGGCTTCTCCCAGACTTTAATTCTTTTACGGAAAGAATGAAAAGGCATCCAAGGTCCTCCAAAAGTGTATCAAAATGGGTGTCAGGATGCATCCTGGCATGTTATGAGACTTCTGGTGGTGTGTAACCCACTTAGTACAAATGGCCACTTCACCAGGGCTCAATCTAACTCCAGAGTTTTATCCAAGAATGTACCTATCTTGGACATTGGCAAGGCTGCACTGAATTAATTGCCTCAACACCCTCGTCTATATTTGAGGTACTGCTCGGAAATCTCCTAACGTGGAGCACCAATAACTCAAAGAAGGAGAGTTTACTTTCCTTGTACGGTATCAGAAGGGTAGCCGTGTTAGTCTGGATCAGTAAAAAGCGATAGGGTCCTGTGGCACCTCCTAGACTAAAATATTGGAGCATAAGCTTTCGTGGGTGAATACCTGCTTCGTCAGATGCATGCTTGTACAGTAGCTAGCATTCTTTGAGGTGTGTTGGCCCTAAGGGTGCTCCACTGCCCACTGTCCCCTTTGCTTTGGGATCTTTGACTCTGGACTTTAAGGTTCAGAAGGAACTGAAGTAGCAGCAAGTTTGCCCTTCCCTATATACCCTCGTACTGGAGCACAAGGATGTGTAGGGCACAGGTGTGGACCTGTGGACACTGCTGTCAAAAATCTCCAAGAGACCATCCTGACATGGTGCACCCATAGGGACTATACATCTTAAAGAACTCATTACTGTATAATGTAAATACTCTCTCCTTTTTCCTTAGGAAGGATAACATTTATGAGTAATTCAAAAAATAAATTTGAGACCCAGTTTACCAAGAATCTGAGCCTGTTAGTTCAGCATCTTCAGTTCTCATTCTTTCCTGTTGCTGAGATTTATGATTTTATAACATCAGTATTGCAGAAATACAATAGTATATTTAAAGGATTATGGTGTGGCCTTGGGAGTCATATGTGCACCTTGAGCTCTGTCTCAACAGTGGGCTCCCTATTCCCATCCCCAGTAGTAATACCTGAGAATCACCTATGCAGGGGATTCTGTGCAGGTGTTTTGTGAAGCAGAATTTGGCTGATTGTGCTGTGTTCATTTTCATTGGTGTGCCATTGTCTAAATAATCTTAGAATTTAAGTTTATTCCAGAGGAAAAGCGGTGAAAAAGCTAACATTCCATTTGTCTTTCTCTTTTGTATTTAGTTTTAAGCATTGGTGAAGGTGGATTCTGGGAAGGCAGCACCCGAGGACTTGTTGGATGGTTTCCCGCAGACTGTGTTGAGGAAGTGCAGTGTAAACCAAACGAAAGCAGACCAGGTAAGCGAATACAATTCAGCAATAATTTGCACAGTAACAAATGAAACGTGTCTAGTTGAGCACTGAGGTGGCCTAAATTAGAATATATTACATGGTCTTATTGTGCAACACTGGAAATTGAAGAATTAAATAAGACTGAGCACTTAATAAAGATCAGTGAAGATGCTTTTATTGATCAAACTTTCCTGGTCTTTGTCCAAGCCAAACAATCTTTTTCAGAAAGCAATCTCCTGTAAAGTACTGGTATAACTCTCAGGTAGGGAATGATTATAGACATTTTTTAAGGGAGCACTATGTTGTAGTTTTATGTTCTAATAGTGTATGAAAAGTCTCTCACTGGTTGATTAAGCACTTGAAGGAAATTTGACTGTTGGCGTCCCAAATTGGGATAGTGACAAAATGTGTTAAATTGCCATTTTATTATAATAAACCTTTTCACTGCTTTGAACCTTTAATAACTTTTTGAGGATGTAGGTCTAAAGATAATCTTCATAAACCCTAGTTTGCAAAGAGTTAGTGATAGAACTAAAAAAACCCTAGGGATGGGTTTAGGATTTGACTGGAACCCTTTTTTTTTTTAATTAGAAAGGGGGGAGTGAGTGCTGTATTTTTTTTTTAAATAATACAGTAATTTCAAAACAAAATAGTTTGCAGGTTTCAAATGCTGGTTAATGTTTTTGAAAATTAAAACTGGTATTATTCTATGCAATGATGTTTGGCAAGAAACAATGAACAAATTTAGGTGCAGATTCTGCAATGAGCTTTGCATGGGCAGACCTGTGCCCGTGGTAATCTCAATGAAGGATCAGAACCTTAATCCTTCTGTTACTGTGTTCAGCTGCAGCTTTTGTGGCTTCTAAGGGATACTCCACGTACGTAGTACAAAGGCCACTTAAAAGTGTTGCTATACTGCTATTAACTGTGGTACAGAGAACTGAGTTCTCCATTTCTACGTGGTTGTGCCATAAATAAAGCAAAGACAATTTTATTTAACCACAGTTTATGGTTCCAGGTATTACAGCATTCATGAATCAAAAATAAATTGGCTACAATATTTATTTAAAGAGTAATGCACCTAATGCATCATAGCTACTTTCCCTATTTTTAAGGGAATATGGACATGCTCATATATTCAGATTGAAAGCTCACTGTGAACTATAACAACTTCCAGAGTATATTAGTGATCTAATAAGTATGGACTGGATACCACGGAATGGTCTAAATGAGCTATTAAGGTGTTAGATCATTGATCTGTGAATGAAGAACTTCTTGCGGATGTAAAGACATTACAATATAATTTTTGTACTGGCATTCATACAAAAAAATCAGTATTTCACAGGTGATTATAGTCTGCCCATGCATAATTTGTGTTCAAGTATGACCTTTGTGTAGACAGGATAGGCTTGAGAAGGAAACACTGATCCAGACTGTTGAAGAATTAACGAAAGCTGAAAAACTGGAGGTCTTGTAGGATTTGATTATTTTACTATGTAAAGGAAGGGGTGGGATGAGGATTCAGGGATAGGAGTTAGGGTACGTTTACACAGCCTGCGACAGTGAGGCTCCCAGCCTTGGTGATAGAGTTGGGCAAGCAGGCTTGCACTAGCACTCTAAAAATAGCTGTGTAGGCTAGTGGTTCCCAAACTTGTTCCGCCACTTGTGCAGGGAAAGCACCTGGCGGGCCGGGCTGGTTTGTGTACCTGCCACGTCCGCAGGTTCGGCCGATCGCAGCTTCCAGTGGCCGCAGTTCGCTGCTCCAGGCCAATGGGAACCGCTGGAAGCGGTGCAGGCCGAGGGATGTACTGCACGCGGCAGGGACACAAAACGGCCTGGCCCGCCAGGGGCTTTCCCTGCACAAGCAGTAGAACAAGTTTGGGAACCACTGGTGTAGACAGCACTTTGAAATGGGCTCTGAAGCCCACCCTCCTCCAAAGGCTTCAGTGTGAATACTTTAATATTCATTGGGCCGGAGAGTGAGTGTGAATGGGAATGACCTCAAAGCACAGTGGCTTGCAGGTTATAGTTCCCGCTCCAATTAATATTTAAATATTTTATACAAAATGCAACAGATTGAACAGGAAAAATCGATACCAGAATACCCTATTGCTGTCACTGGGGAGATAAGTAATCTGGGTTCTAATCCTTGCTCCAAATCAGGCAGAGTGGGGATTTGAACCTGGGCCTCTCACATCTGGGACTACTCTAGCCATTGAGCTATAGGTAAGGTTAAGATTTTGTATTGGTTATTTTTTTTTTTTAGTAAAAATAACCGACAGGTTGTGGGCAATAAACAGAATTTCACAGAAGCCCACAACCTGTCTGACTTTTACTAAAAATAATGTGTGTGTGGTGGGGGGGGAGACTGATGGTGGGGAGAGAACCGAAGCCCAAGACACATGGGTAGGGTGGGGGGGGGGAGAATGAGAGCCTAGTCCCCATTGTGGAGGATGGGAGGGCTCCAGCACCCGTGGCTGCCATAGCCTGGGAGCTGCCGGGACTCAGGGCGAGTGGTGTCCAGTGGCGTGGGGCCCCTGCAGGCTGATATCTCTGGTCCTGCCACCCCAAGGCTGAAGCTGCCACAGAGGTCTCTGAAAGTCACGGAATCTGTGACTTCCATGACAAAATCTTATCCTTAGCTATAGGACATAAGGACAGTGGTAGTACCATCACCACCACTTCTCTTGAGAAAGGATTGACCTGATTTAGGCACCTAACTCCAAGAGAGGATTCATAGCTATGAATCCTGAGCAAACATAGGTGCCTCTCTCCAGCCCAGATTTAGAGTGCCTAACTCCCTTTGAGAGACAACCCCTTGTAATGATCCACAGGTCTCAAACCCAAGCCCACAGGATTTATGTGAGAGGCCACATTCTAATCCTCCATCTGGCAGCCCGCTGGCAACTGCTGACCTAGGACCCAGCGTGAGGGTCCATCCCTGAGGTCCAATTGGTGGAGTTCCAGAGTGGGTGATTAGCCCACTTGGACCTTCTTAAGCCAGCATCAGGAACAGGAAGCTGTTCAAACAACTGGGCTCCACTCTGCTCTGGCTGTGCCCCCACCCTGATTTCCAGGCATCTGACTTGTGATTTTGATCTCCAGTTTGTCTACTGCTCCTGGTATCCTGACCCAGAAGACTCTTAACTCCTGTCCCACGACTGTAGAGTCTCACTCCAACTACTAGGTCTGGCTGCCCATGGCCCTGTTACCCCTCCTTGGCATTTTCTGCTGGCTAGTTTAGGTGGCTCCCTTCTCAGCCTGCTGGCTTTTGTGAATCCCATTGTTAGGTGCCTAACTCTCCCCATCCATTGTATAGCGAGCCTAGGAGTCTAACTTGGGGCTGTGGATTCTACTAGGCAGAAGAGCACCTAGATTCAGTGTTGAAATGTTGCTCATTTAAGTCCCCTTTGTGGATCTAGCCCTAAGGTTCTAGTCTTGCAACTGGATACATGTGGGTGGACCTCTATACCCTTGCAGAACCTGGTGAAGTCAGTGGGTCTCCATGGAGTCCATCTGTGAATATGCAGTTGCAGTACTAGTGCCTATGCTGTCCCCATCTTTATACTTCCTGGTTCATCCTGTTTTCTCTCTCTTTTTGATTGTAAGTTCTTTCAGGGCAGAAACGTTGTCTCTGTGTATCCTACTGCACTGATGACATGACATAAGACTGGAAGGAACATCCTGGGTCATTGAGTCCAATATCCTGCTATCACAGTTATATTAATCCTGTTAATAAATTTATTAAGTGCCATCTTAAAATTATCTAGGCTATTTGCCTCCATTATTCCTGTTGGGAGGGTGTTTCAGAACCTCACTCTCTGATGATTAAAAACCTTCTTCTGATTTCCAACCTAAATTTGTTCATAACCTGTTTATACCCATTTATTCTTGTGCCAACATTGTCCTTTAACTTAACTAGCTCTTCTCCCTCCCTGATATTTACCTCCTGATGTGTTTATAGAGTGCAACCATATCCCATCAGCCTTTGTTTTGCAAAGCTAAACAATCCAAGTTCTTTTAGGCTCTCCGTTCCCCTGATCATTCCAGTAGACCTTCTTTGCACCTGTTCCAGTTTGAATTCATGTTTCTTGAACATGAATGACCAGCATTGTATGCAGTATTTTTGGCACTAAATAATCTTTAAATATACACTGTTCTCTTTGGGAATGGAAAAATAATTTGATAAACATTTTGGACCAATTTTCTATAATTGCCTGTGAAGTTGTGCACTCACATGTGGGTTTTGTAGGTAATTTTGAAAACACTCACCCTCTTGGAGTCTGAATGAACAAATACTTCATTGTGTGAAATACTATATATTGAAGTATCAGAGGGGTAGCTGTGTTAGTCTGAATCTGTAAAAAGCAACAGAGAGTCCTGTAGCACCTTTGAGACTAACAGAAGTATTGGGAGCATAAGCTTTCGTGGGCAAGAACCTCACTTCTTCAGTCTTGCATCTGAAGAAGTGAGGTTCTTACCCACGAAAGCTTATGCTCCCAATACTTCTGTTAGTCTCAAAGGTGCCACAGGACCCTCTGTTGCTTTTTATATATTGAAATTATTCTTACTACTGAATCAGTAAGGACATGAGGGTTTACCAGTGATGCATCAGAAAAATGTGATGTATTAGAACACTATCATTACTGAAGTATGATAGGGATTGAAAGCAGTTGATAACTGCATATGATAAATTAAGTCATTTCCTTTCTGCACATGAAACAAATGCAATGTAAGCTGACTGCCTTACAGGCAGAAGTCAGTCCGTACTCCCATAGAGTAAAAAAAAATGCAAAAATCAGATAGGAAAAAATTTAATAAGTATGGTGAAAGGATTACAGATTAAATTCTAGTTTCTGGGACTGTTTAAAGGACATTAGCTAAGAAGTGTCACAAACCTGCACAAGTTGTGAGAACTCACACCATAGACGGTGCAAAGTAGCAGAGATTTCATGCCAGTTCTTTAGAGGAAAAAAAAATGCTCAGTGTCCCAAATTGCACTGCAG